TCAGATTCCCATTAGCCTTGCTGTAACGATCTTTTTCGGGTTTTATGCAACACCACAGGCATTCAAATCCTCTAAAGTTGGCCTCTTTTTGAACATAAAGTATTTGTATCGTATTGCTGAACATAGAGCATCCAGATCCATATACCACGAAGATGCAGACCATGCACTCGGGATTGATTTTCAACCAAACCTTTTCACACGAGCAGCACGAGTGGCTTCTTTAATTTGAAAAGACCTTCTTCCAGATCAACAAAAATGGATTGGAATGACGTGATTGGTTCTGGTTGCTTGTGTGATCTGTTAATTAATTACCATATGATTAAGTTGGTTAATTAATTAATTAAGCTGAGACGATGGCTCCACACGTTGTGAATCTCTGATCGAGGGAAGGCAAGCCACACAGAACTGTCCACGACACATGCATATTGAAATATATTGACACTTGGTGGCGTTGAATTTTTAATAAAGGTAGGAAAATTTCGGTGGAATCTGTTTCTGGATAAGTGCCCGTGACTCCATAATTAATCATTAACTAGACTTATTAATCATAATCATTGAGTGCACGTATAATTTTCTCACAGATCCCAGTCTTCGGATGGCATACATATACATATCTTGATTTTTAATGACCTTATCAGTGAAATTAATAATTTCATAGCTATAGGACAATTTGCGTAGCTAGCGCGAGGCAGATTCTAGTAAGTACGAACGTGGCAAGAGACTTGGACCACTTAATTTTGTGAGGTTGTGTTTAATTAATTAATTACCAGTCTTGGATATGACTCCAGTAAATTAAACTAACGAATCTTCTCTTGTTTTGTTCTTTGAGTAATGGAAATCATTGATTATTGACTGATTAGCCAAAAAGGCATAACTAATCGAGGTCGATGTTAACTGGTCAAAAAAAAAATCGAGGTCGATGTTTAATAACTGATGAGTAAGTAGTACATCAAATCAATCGAGGAAGAAATTAAAATCTGGTGTAACTAAACTTCAAAGCCTTTTAATTAATTAGTTTTGTGGTTGTAGCTAGGCTCGTAGGCCTCTCTGGCTTTGTCTTGCGCTTCAGATGCGATGACGTATAAGAGTGACGGTGAAATGGAAAGAGGGCGGAAAAAATTATCGAAATGTATTTATATACGGATATTTCACCAGTACCTAATTCCAATGACTTGGGTTAATGATTTTGAAATTGCACAACAACTGCTCCCTCAAATCTTTCAACTTTTCCCTTACCAGAAAAAACAATATTTTAATAACTGAACCGCACAGTGAATCAAAAAAGTCTATGGTCATGGTTTTTATAATTTAATTGATTAGTGTGGTAATTGAATGATAGATATAATAATTAAATAAAAAATAATATTTATATATATACGCACATATATATAATATATTAAAAATATTAATAATATCATTTTTAGTTTAGAGTTGTTCATTCATAATATATTAAATTTTAATTTTTTTTTATTTTTTTCACACACATATATACCTTATTTGTTTTTCAAAATAAATGAGTTTTTAATTTTCTCTATGCTTTTATTAATATAATGCCAATAAATAAATTATGCACTCGAGATCTTACTATAATATCAAAAACTATGTTACAATTTATATTTTTAAATAGAATAAAAAATTTAGTACTAAAATAAGAGTAAAAATGGGGGGTCAAAATGGTCCAGCTATTCTAGATCTTTGGTTTTCTCCAAGTTTTTAAGAACGACCAAGTCAAAGTAGGGCAACTGTAAGAATGGGCCAAATGATTAGACTGGATCACTTTCTTCTCAGAGCAATGGTAACTGTCGAGCTGGTTCAAGTAAAAATATTCCATACAACACAACTCATGGCATTGGAGATGTGGATGAATTTTTTTTCAACGATGTGATATCTCATACTTGTATCATATAATTATTAAGGATGATAAAACTTTTAATTTTTTAAATTGTCTTATATCTAAAGGGGCAATCACTCCAACATTACACATAAATGTTTCAATTATCAATTTAATCTCTCAAGTTTAATTTTTATTGATTTAATCTTTATTTATTTAAAGAGGGTGTAACATTGTTAAAATATGATGATATAAATAATAGAATATTGATGATGTCATGAATTTATCTTATAATAATGAAAATAAATATTTCTTTGAGTCGGAAAAAATGAACTCATAAATTTTAAAAACCAAACAAACCAAAGTGCACCATAATTGATAAAAAAAGCTGATTTGAAGATTAATTTATTCTCAATTAATTGTATCTACATGTTATATCTTTAACATGTGTGCACATTAGATTAATTTAAGTATCAATTTATGTTTTAAAATTTAATGGTCTAAATAATTTAAGAATGTAAAGGCTTAAGTTGATAAAAATTAAATTTGAGGTATCAAATTGATAATTAAAATAAATTTAAAATACTATCCTAAGTATTATATTAGTAATAAATTGTTGTTGTCGTTGTTATTTTTTATGGAATAGCACGACGATAGACATTTGTCATGCATGTCTAATATACAAATCTGGTTTTCCAAGATATTAGGACGAGGAAAAGGAGACGGATCCCGTCAAGCTAAAATAAAATAACATATAAAATAAAAAGGTGTAAGATTTATGGTCACTCACTCTCATTTGATCGAAGTTAGGTTCACTAATGTCATTTTTGAGGTTTCAAGTTTCGACTTTTGGCAGTGAACAAATCTAAAAAAAATTCTTGTGCGATAAAACCAATGATGATTTCAACACAGCGACGTACGAGTAAGCATTGGCAAATTTTGCACTTAATTAGCTTATAACAATACCTGTCTCTTCATAAATCAAAGGCATACCACGTCTCTCTCATCATCTTTCCAAAAAAAAGAAAAAGAGAGGATTTTATGTAAATAATGTATTACAGATACCACGGAATTTATGAATTTCACATTTCCAAATTTCTAGTGGGCCAGGTTCAATTACCCAAAAAAAAAAGCCTAAAATAATTTACGGAGGAGGATGTAGCTCAACGGTGGAGATTTCTGAGGCCATCGAGGCGTCAAGCGGTCAAGGCGTACTGTGATTCATTGATGAAATGAACGGCCAAGATTGAAGGACTGCACAAGAATGACAGTTAATGATAAAACCCATGGAATTGACTGGCTTTGTTTCCTTTTACAAGCGGAGGAAATCATAATTCTGACTGTCCTTAGTCGATCATCTATTTGCAAATATTTTTATTAGTTTCCCAATTTTATTAACAAAATACACAGTTTTTAAATCTAAATAAAGTGCGCTATCCATCTCGTGCAACAACATATGTCCTATACACGCTCAAGAAAGTATAATATACTCCAGTAATTAGTTAACTAATTTACACAAATTAAATAGATCATGTGAGTTATTTATTTGTGAAATGTTTGTGATGATTTTCTTAAAATACCTATCATTTTAATTACTTATATTGGAATATATTGTCAACATAGCATATATATCATACAATAATCTGACTATAAATGTAGTTCAAGAAAAATAAAAAAATATAAAAGATAAAAGAAATTGAAATCTTATATTTAGAACCAAAATAAACCCTCAACTAACTTTTATATCAAGGATCCCACCCAGGGAGCAATTCCATGGAATATTTTGTATACTTGTTCGCTATGTATGCAAATTAAATAACAGAAATTAATTCATTAAAGTAATTTCTCAATTTTTATAATAATAAATTATTTTAGAATCGTTTTTTTTGAACAATCTAGTAAAAGACTAACATATTACCAAACAAATACTAAATTTCACTCATTTTTATTAATAAAAAATAATATTCATCATGTAACAATAATAGAAATATTTTTAGAAGCCAATATTGTTATACATTTTAGTTAGAGTATGCATGATAGAGTGTTAATATATAGACGAAGTGCTAATATATGCATGCTAGAGTTATTTTTAGTTTTCTAGCTTTATCCTTGTGTTTTATAAAATTTTCTTTAATTATTTACTTCCGTTAGTTTCGTCAACATTTAATTCTTGAAAAAAATATTTTCACAAAAAAACAATGATTGTTATAAATAATAATAATTTAAAATTAATGGCATCAAAATTAAAGAACTTAAAAGATACTCTATAGGGAATAAATTAAATTTTTATGTAAAATAAAAAGATCAAAAATATACTTCAGCCAATATATACACATGATCATCTTTTGACTTAAAGGAAAAAATGTGCACATATTTTAGTTCTGATAATTATTTTTTGAATAATTCTTATATCTCTGCTAATAAATTTTAAAAAGACACTTAAAATTGCAAAAAAAAAAGGTAATAAATTGTGAAAAAGGGATTGACATTATTCTCATTTAATTATATTGTGGAAGGGTAGCTATATGCTATAGCCTTCAAATTGAAAACAAACCTGCTTGGGAACAGAAGATATCAGGAACTATTCTTATTAAGCCTAACATTGCTAGTCTGACTCGTAATATATGGTATACGACGCAGTAGTTGTACAAAAAGAAAGTTGATGCCTCCAGAGACTGTAGCAGTAATTGTTTGACAGGGCGCAGGGATTATTTATTCATAATGATGTAATATCATGTGAGTTATAACCTTTTCCCCTCCGTGTAAACCAAACAACGACTACCATCTACGTTCAGAGGATGCTGCATGATATTGACTGGTTTGCTGTTGGGGACACACGCACGCACACACAAGTGAGTATATTGTTTCGTATTGCCGGTGACGGTTCCTGTAACAAGGGAGGTTTTCGTTTCCCAAGTCCTAACCACAACTCGCTGGTTTATGTTTTAATTAACATCATATAATCATCTGTGCGTTTATTTATTCATTAATTCCATCCTTACTGTTTTTCAACCATGGAATCTACATTCACAAGCTTCCAAAACCTTTCCCAAATTCCCACCTTTGTGCCAGCTAATAAACCTCCCCACTTCACACATACTTGGTATTACATCCTTCACTGCCTCTTCACATTTCCACCACTATATAAACCACCCTTCTCTTCCCATTCCTCCCATCTCTTCCAAACTCCACTAGTTATACACTTATAACTATCTCTTGAAGAGAAACAAGCTACCATAGCTAGCCACCTCACTAGGATTTCCAGATCACCTCATCAATGGCCTCCAAACCTTGTTCCTCCTTCGCTCTTTTCCTGCTCCTCAACCTTCTCTTCTTTTCCATGGTTTCTGCTTGCTATAACTGTCCTGGCGGTTCAAACCCAAGGCCCAGGCCGAGACCTTTCCCCAACCCCTTCAACCCCAGCCCCTCGCCAGGAACTGGAACCGGAACCGGAACCGGTACGGGAACAGGAACTGGTACCGGAACAGGAACCGGTACTGGAACAGGAACAGCTACGTGTCCCAGGGACGCACTGAAACTAGGGGTGTGCGCCAATGTGCTGAACGGTTTGCTCAACGTGACAATTGGTCAGCCGCCGGTGACCCCATGCTGCACTCTCATCCAAGGGCTAGCAGACCTTGAGGCCGCCGTCTGCCTCTGCACCGCCATACGAGCTAACATTCTAGGCATCAACCTCAACATTCCAATCTCTCTCAGCTTGCTTCTCAACGTTTGCTCTAGGCAAGTCCCTCGTAACTTCCAATGTGCTTGATGATCCCATCAGCTATACGTACTCCGTCTTCCATCTTTCATATCAGCGGCCTTCTTAATTATTATCGTGTTATTCCATTTGTTTCAACTGCTACAAATTAAATTGTAGTATCATGTGTGTGATTTATTACGTACTTTTATGATTAATTGGATGCTAGCTAGCCGCATGCCTAGTTATCCTTTATTATTATCATCTACAGTTAGTGCTTGTTTGATTTCATTTGTGCTAGGAGTCAAAAATAAGTTTCCCCGTGTTTACTTACCAAGTAAATTGTAAGGGGAACCACAAAGATTAAACATAGTGTTCTTCATTATAAAGAAATGGTTCAATTACTCCTTCTTTGTCGTCTCCATCTCTAGCTCTGTTCCCTAGTTCTAGTGTGTGTGTGTGTGTGTTTAGCTAGCTCTTTTGCCTTCTGCTTTCGTCTCTACACACAAAAGAAGGAAAACAGAGATCAGGAAAAAGGAAAAAGAAAATGGAAGCAGATTGAGCCGGATGGATTCAGAAAGTTGGTGTTATATAACTCGCAACATTATTCTTGATATTATTTTATTTATAATTTTATATAGAATTGAAAAACTAACATGTCTTTTCCTTACTTTCCAATTTTCATATGCATATATGAACACTTTTTCTGATGGAAAAATATAAATAACCAAGGAAATATATACGATGAGTGGCATAGGGGCCAGGGCTAGGCATCTGATCAGTCGGATGGATCCATGGGGGTGAACTGAAGTGAATGATTGAAACCATTTGATGATATCTAGAATGTCGTTTTCCTGTTGGAATTAGAAGCCAAACAACCTCTTTCGCTTCTTTGTTGAACGGACTATTGGCTTCATTAAATTTCATAGCAGGCAATACTGACAAATTGCTATCGCGAAAACGAGCCATTCGCCACCAGAAAAGGCACTATTTAACCCGTGACAGGTAACGCGGTCAAAAATATTTCTCAAAGAAGAAAAAGGATGTTCATTTGAAAACCTTATGCAAAAAGTGAAGATTCTATACTTTTGGAGATCTATTTCACAGTATTCGAAGTTAATTAATTATGCTAAGAATTTACTGTGGGATCATGTGAAGTTTGAGAGTTTTTTTACTTGTCGAAGTCATGTGTTTGGTAATGATAGGTTCATTATAAACTCGGCTAATGTGTCTGTAGATATATTTATCTTGCTCTTGGAAATGAATATATTGAGTATTGACCACTTTGGTGCACAAAGAAGCTTTAATTTGAAATAAACAAAATGGAATATGCAGGGTCTATCGAAAATCCTGATATCTGTTTTACATAAAACAATAGAATATCGAGAGCATGCTGAGTACAGAGATTCATATCCCTAAATTTACTCATGAGTTACGAATATTTTATGAAAATGAAGTTATTTAATGGCTTTCCTTTAGATAGAGTAAGGCTACCAAGGAGCACATGTAAATATGTTCTGGATATACATGCATGTTGCATGTAATCGGAATTTTCCCACCGAAGAAAAGAAACAAGCTACAACAGTTGAAATAGATGAATCATATATATGTTGTTGGAGAGAGAATGAGGATCGAGGTTGATCAACTTATCGTAAAAAGTAAGGCTTCTGCATATTGGAATGATTATGAAATCCAATTTATATATGGGATTTAAACGGTCCCGATCACCACCCGTGAATCTTGTTTGGCCACATCCGATAACAAAAGCAAGCAAATGTTATGTTTTGTTTGACTTGGAGGCAACAAAGCAAGGATCCTTTATCTTCCGCTTTTGATTTCTTCTTCTTTCTTTGTTTTTTTAGGGTAGGGTGGGTAGGAGAGGATACAGGACCCTTGTATTATTTCTAACTGCAATGTCAACACATGGTATAATATCAAAATGAGAGATATGATTACGTGTAGAACTAGTTTGTTACATTTAATAATACATATTTTTATAATAAACGTATAGATTGACTTGCTAGACAAGCAGATCAAGATTATCCTTCAAGTGATCAGTGTTGTGATCCACTTTTGCCCATTGATATGAATTAATTTTTTTTTTCTGTGTGACGTTGTATTTCAAAAAAAAAAACAAACAAACAAACAACCAAACAGAGAAATAGTACATCAAAAGGCTCAAAGCCAGTCTCGCTTGAAATTAGTTGAGAAAGGTATCCGACTATCATTGGTTCATTATACAATGACACTTGTACTAAAGTTCATTAGAGCAAGAATAGGGGCCACACTAGGCCTGTGGTAACGTGGAAGTGGTTCAGTAAGAGAATTGCAGGACCACAATGCACAATGAAGCCCATCGTTATGGTCTTATTGATGGGGGTCAAGTACTCCAGAATCATCCACATGAAGAATAAGTCAGTGATTTAAGTTTGAAGTCACCAGTAATACAAGAACTTGCATACCGAGCAGAGATTAGAGAAAGTGAGGGTAAAAGGGTTTGCAGTTCCGTTGGTTGGGATGGTCTTGTAATTTCGAGAGTGAACTTATACAATCGATGTCGGAGGCACATTAATATTCTTCCTTGTTCTCCAACCTCTGAAACGCTTCGAGCATACTCCAGAATGAAAATATAAGAAAATGGTGTACTTGGAGAACAAGGTATTCAAAAGAGGCCCATAAGAATGACACGCTTCTCTCATAATTCATATATAATTTTTTGACAGCTCCGCGTTTTTCATCTTCACTCTTATGGCACAAGTTCAAGCATGGATATCACATATTCCAGATGGATCGTATACACGAGTTCAAGCATAATACTAAAACACATAATACCAGCATGACCAAATTTTATTTTTGTCTTTAACTAACTCATTATTTGATTAAAAAAAATCTTTGACTGGAATAAAAGTAATAGAAGTTTCACATTTTGATAGAAACAGAAATGATGGAGTGATGTTATCAAAAGAAGAAAAAAAGAAAAAAGAAAAGAGAATGATGGAGTGAACGAACAAGGAGCATTTTGATATGGGGGCAAGGACAGGTGTAAGTCTGCGTTTTTGGGAAGATTTTTTGGATATCTGTTATTTGTTGACATGTCGTGATTTTTTATTGACATTGTAAATTTGGGTTTATGTTCGATCTCTAAATTAAATCATCTAGTCTGTGAGAAGATATTTGTTCATGAACCTTGACGAAGAACAATGGGAGAAGATGATTCCATAGCATTGAACTATCATGAGTCGGGTAGATTGGTTGCAGACCGAATCCTTGAATTCATATGTACTCATTATTTATATATTTTTTAGAATTTTTTTTTTATATTCTGAAATTGTGAAGATCATGTTGGGGAGAATGAAGAAGATCATCCATGAGGAAGAAGCTGATGCATCAATGCATACTTTTCATGAAAGCCAAACAAAAATCATTTTAAGATTCCAGCTAAATTTTTGATTTATCAAATACACTTTTAAATCTAATTCATTTTTCCTTTACTTTTTTTTTTCTGCGCATTTCTATCAAAATGCTTTAAGGCAACCAAATTAAGTTTCCACACTTGAGATTCTTCCGTACTGGTTTCTTTAACCCCACATAGTCTAAAGCCTACTGTCACTTGCTTTTTAGGCCTTTTCATTTGTCTGCAACGAAGAGCCATCTCATTGTTGCATTACAGATCATTTTAGCTGCGTATCAAAATAATTTTAATCCAACATTTAATGATTCGAAAGCTAGAAAAACCTTTCCGATTTATGTCACTCAGGTTCGATCCTCTTGAGAACCTGTACCGACCATTTTACCACAAAAAAGAAAAGAAAAAGAAAAAAAGCGAGCTAGACGTAAATTACCAGAAATGTGTGTGTGTGTGTGTAATTAAAATGGTACTGACCTCTACAGCAAAACAATCATTTACTCCAGCATTCATCAACCCAAATATTCTTGACAGAATGAATCTTTCAACTATTTTTGCAAAACGATGAATCTTTTGGTAGCTCCTTTTCCCACTCACTCATCAGAACACCGCCCCCCAACCCCGGGGAAAAAAAAACCACTCTTTTTCTTCTTCTTCTTCTTCTTCTTCCTTTTGCCTTAATTCGCTCATTATACTGGTTCGAACTTTGAATTCAAATGGTCCTGAATTTTTCCCAACCAAAACTCCAAGTCTCTACCCAGATCACATCTAAAAAGTCCGAACCCAACCCAATCGCCAACCGGATAGAACCACGCAGATTGAGTTATCAGTTTCATCAAGTGGTTTAGGTTTCAGCGTGAATACTTCTTAAAAAAATCACTCATTTTAATATTATTCTTGTCCAAGCACACTTAATTGCAAAGTTTGAAAGAAAAATGATAAAGAGGTTTCAAAAAATTAATTAATTTAAATTAAGTCTTAAGTGTAAAATTTTTATAATTGTTTTTCCTATTAAGATTTGAAAAAATAAGTTATAAATTCTTCACATAAAAAATACAAAATTAAAAAATGAACTAACAAATTTTTGAAGTTTGAAACTTAAAACTTAATTTAAATTAATTAATTATCTTGAGACTTATATGTTATTCTTCCTAATTCTAAAGAGATTCAGTGCATTAGTTTTAGAATGATAAACTGAAAAGGTTGCTGACATGCTCCCTGAGGAAGCTCCCAAGAATAGGCAACTTTTCACTTCCATTGATACTGTCCAAGAATCTGAGGACCCTAGCGCGCGCTGATGAATTGGGATCTCCATCCCCACCCTTTCGCAATATGTAGTTAACTTGGGCTTTGCCCTCCTTTTTAATTGTTTTTTTCAAAAAAACTGGTTTAGGGTTAAAACACCCCTATTAATTTGGGAAGAATAACAGAAAAATCTTAAAAATATCAATTAATTCCAGTTAAATTTTAAATATTAAATTTTAAAAATTTACAATTCAATCTTTCAATACAATTACATTGTGATAAATTTACTATTTATATTTTAAATTTTAACAGAAAAATATAAAATTTTTTATTTTTTAACCATATTAAAATTAAAAAATTAAATTATAAATTTTTAAAATTTAACACTTGAAATTTAATTTAAATTAATTTTTTTGAAACTTTTTTGTTATTCTCGCATCCATGTGTCCCCGTCCACCCTGCCACCATAATTCTTCTTAACGTTGGGACTTGAGGCCAAACCAAAAAAAAAAAAAAAAAAAGCTTGCGAAATTATTTTCCCCTTCCATCTTAAGTACACATTCCTGAAATCCAGAGTGCACAGAAATTGGCCCACGTGATAAAGTTCATTCCTTACGATAAACCAACGGAAGTGATGGAGTTCGAGAAAAAAGATAAGCGTGAGACTCATATAAAAAGAAATAAAACAGACGCGACTCTTCCATTCCAGAAGTTGATTTGGGCCGGTCTTCACCATTCATTATTCTTAACCAGATAGGAACACAAATAACCATGAAGAACGGATATATCGGACAGCAATGGCTCATTCCATCATTGCATTTGAATCCTATGGTTCACCTCCAAGCTCCACTCGCAGATTGTCGTATGGATACACTTTCGGTGTCTTGTCAAAAGGAAATAAGAAATTAATCTATCAGTATATATTAAGTATCTGCCACAGGAAAAAAAAATGCATGGGAAACTTCAAAACCAGAAGAATATCAAAATGCAATGACTGGGGCGGGAACGTGGGGATCATATAGACCAGGCTTTGGACACACGACAGAGAAAATACTTGGTAGCACAAGATCAGGTGTAAAAAATGATGATGGTTTAATCAATGAGCAAGCCTTGACACTACACAAAGCTTGACGGTGACTCAGTCAACGAGCAAAACATGATATTACACGTAGCTTCAAAAAATTTAGAAAGGAGCGGTGCCATGTCCCACACATTTTGAACACTTGTGCGTTGCACTTTTATCAGGTCACAAAGTCCATATTTGTTTTATACTTGGTATCTACCTCGTCATTTTGAACACTGATTTCATATGCACTGTGATACTTGTGTGTTGCAATTTTATCATGTCTCAATGCCCATATTCTACAACTGCAACTGCCCTATATCACAAGGCATTTGAAGATAAAGGACAATGGCTCCAATCTACTATCTACTATAAGATAAAATTTGTAAGAAGCCAATTTGACTAATTTGGCTCGTAAGTAGTGTTATGATTTGAGATAACCGATTTGTATCAGCTTATGTGTTTTGTTGTTTAGTAGAATAATTTAATGGGCAAGTATTTTGTTTGTAACTTTTGAAACTTAGGCTAGTCTTATTAAAGGGATTACATGTTCAAACCAGCCACCCTGTTATTCCAGTCAGCAGTGCCATAATCAAAAAGAAACCTCGTGCAACTCAGCAAGATCATCACAGTGCTCAACTTTTCACAAGTTCGTGAAAGTTCAATCACGTTTACTGCATGCTATCAACATAAAAATCAAAATGCCTTTATATTAATATTGAAGAACCATCCATCTTCTAAGCCATTGACCTAACTTTAAGCCAAAAGACGAAATTAGAATCTAAAGAAAACCTTCCATGACCTCCATATTTAATATCATTTCTGACCCATTTAATTTGTTAAGGAAGCAAAGAAAATTTCATCATTAGGCCAAGGAATGATCTGGTGACATGGACCTGCCACAAAAACCTCTCCCACAACCTTAACAAGCATTTCACCACCAGGATGATTCACTGTTATAAACATTTCTGGCTTTGATGTAATAACATACTTATGAGCTGTATGCAATTGTAAACATACATAAAGCTAGATATCTAATAAACATATATATATTAAGTAAAGTTTCAGGCTAGATTCTTTTTCTTGAAGTACAAGGAGTGAAATAAGGAATGCAGTAGTCCTGAAGATCTAAAGCATTAGACTGCATAACAGCTCAAGGCACATTACCTAAGCACATTGCCTGTTAATAAAATTAACATCCTATTGAACTTAAAACTATTTGCTTCCCCTTGATTCACATCAATATGTCAATATAGAATCCAATCCATAACAAGTTACACTATTCACAAGCCATGAACAACGTTTCTTTAAATTTTGTGCAAAGCATATGGAAAAGCATGTCTAGTTAATAACAACAACAATAAATTATCACAGACTTGAATTTAGCACACAACCTGTATCAGATGGTTACAAGAAAGACCAAACCATAAAAATTAAAAGACATTGACATTGCTTTGTGCACTTCTCTTCCATCTCCAGTGAGTGATTATCGGTGATTGCTAACAGTAATACTACTCGAAGATACAATGAGACATTCCAAAGGAAATGTTAAGAGCCTAAAAATTCCAATACATTTCATTACAAGAATTTATAACAGTAAACTCAACCATAAGAATCAATTCCAAATCTAACATTCAGTAGGAATAAATTAAAAAATAGGACTTACAAAAGGTATCTTGGAGGCCTTGTCATTCCACACGGCCAATAGTCCAAGAGAGGCAAAAAATCCCAACCCCCCACATAGCCAGGCCAAAGCTTCATACTGATTTCAAAATTTAAACAGAATAAAGAAATAATTCGTAATTATTTCAAAATTGAATAGAATAAGCTAGAGATTAGTAAATAAATTTTAAAAAAAAGAGTAAAGGAAAGAAAGCACTTCGACTGCTACATCGTCTTACCTTTCCGATTGTATCTGCAATACGATCAATACACGGTTCGGGAAAAGAAGTCCCGTTGTCCCACATCAACTCATCGTTTACAGGAAGCTGAGAACCCAGATAAAAATACGAGAAAATTTCAGGGAAGCCACATCACATTGTTTCGTATCTTCCAATATCAGCTATGAACATGGAGTTTAGGTTAAGGGAATAATATGAACCGGTTTATCGGGTACAATATGCTTGCCGACTGGGAGGCCCATCCCGGAACGGAGGCGGAGAGAAGAAGCCGCAGATCGGCCTATGACCCCGTTTCCGCCCAAGATCCTCGACGCTGCGCTTGCTAATCTTCCTGCCATGATTTCTCCCCAGAACCTTGCTGCGAAGTGCAAAGGAACACATAGGCACTAAAAATCAATCCCTCCTCACAGCGATGGCAAGTATACGACATCGTTTAACTTTACTGCCCCTTTCGATCTTGGTTTTTTTTTTTTTTTTTTTGCGTTCTCTTTCCCTAATTCGGGCTGGACCTTTTCCAAGCACAGTCAGTGTTGTACTTGTACAGTTATGCTCTATGAAATTACTCGTAACTCCGGACTCAGTGACTTGGCTATGAAGCTGCATGAATATATGAATATCCATCCAAAGCTCTGTACATTTTAGATTCTACGTAGCTATTGAGATGAAAATAAAATAGCATCAAATTTGTACAAGACAATTCTATTTTGAATAGTCCGGGTATGAACAATCAATTTGATCTTAACACGTTTGAAACACGTGCGGGAAACATGGGATATATTGTATATGGGTCATTGCCTTAGGCCTTCAAAAAACTTTCTTAATGGCCCTTGTTATATATGTGCAATTAATATTTATACTGTTATATATTTAACTTTAAATTAAAGAGAATAAAATATTGGTTATTCTTGTCATTGAGATTTCAACATTAATGGTTGAGTTGAGCTCTATATACATATATATATAATACAAAAATTTAAAATATATTAATTTGCACTACATTTTTTACTTTTTTAATTTCAAAGTCTAAAATATTGACAAATATCAGTGTCAAGACTATGTAATTTTAGACCATTAAAGCAACACCTTTAAGTTAATTAAAAACTTGTTTAAATTTATATAATTATTATTGTTTTTTCACATCAATCATTGAAATCATCAATCTTAATTATATTTTTTATTTAAAAATATATCACCACCTCATATTAATGATAATATTCACATTGTATCCCTATATATAAGATGGAGTAGGATCACTTTGTCAACAATAATATTCATCTATCTATCAAATTAATTTAGTTTTTTATTAGAATTACTATATTATTTTTTAATATATGATTTTGTTAAAAAAAAAATTTGGGAGGGACAATTGGACGTGCTGGGCTCCACTAATAATTTGTCTTAGGCCTTAAGGCTCCTTTCCACGGCCAGAGTGTGTGCAGAAATATGTATACATGTACACATATGAACATAAAAAATGGTATAATTTTTAATATTTCATGAAAATAGAATGATGTGATTAGGATAGAAAAAATGACAATAATTTTTTTAAAATATATAAAAAAATAATTTAATCTCTTAAAATACTATAATTTTACTGAAGTTCTTAAGGACTTTTTTATTATTAATAAATTTATATAAATAATTAAATTGCCTTTTGTTGAAAATAAAATGATTTACAATTTTTGTTCAAATAATTACAACTTTTTTTTTATATTCACAACAATACAATAGTAAATTAGGATTTTAACATGCAAAATTATAATTTGTTATTGTATTATTGCGAATATAAGAATAAAAGTTTAATTATTTAAACAAAATTTGTGAATTATTTTATTTTTAATAAAGATAATTTGGTCATTTATATAATTCATTAATGACAGAAAAGTTTCTATAAACTTCAGTAAAATTATGATATTTTAAGAGACTAAATTGTTATTTATATAATTCAAATGGATTTTATTATTATTTTTTCATTACACTATTATGAAATGCTGTTCAAGTGTATTTTGAAATTTCACACTAGTTTAAAAAAAAATTATCAAGATAAAGTCTTACGAACCAACAATTTTTTTTTAAATAATATTGTGTTAGGAAGGGTGAAATGGATGGTATGTTTAGGAGCTAAACACTCCCTCCAAATTATAATACTACCTCTATCCTAAATTATAGGGCACTTTTAAATGAGTTTTTTTATCTCAAAATATAAAATACTTTGGGTAGACTAAGGTTTCATTAAATACACTAATTTTAACATTATCCTTTCTCTCTATATAAATAATTTTCTTTCCATTCTCTTTTTAATATATTAGATAATGGGTATTTTTAAAAGTTTATATTTTTATTTTAAAAAAATAAAGTTATTAAGTATATTGAGATTTATTGATATGTGAGATTTTATCTAAACGTGTTTTATAATTTGAAACATAGGGAATATAAGACATAAGTTATACTTGATATAACATATAAAGCAATGAGTAGTTTTATACTCTCTCTTATCCAAATTATAAGACATTTTTAAAAAAGGTTCAATATTCTAAAATATAAAATACTTTGAAAAAAATTAAAATTTCACAAATAAATTTATTTCAATATTATCCTTTATTTCTTTTTATTTAATTTACATCCCTATTTTTTCTTCAATATATTAAATAAATGGTACTTTTAAAAGTTTATATTTTTATTTTAAAAAAAATAAGGTTATTAAATATATTTAGTGAGATTTATCAGTATATAAAATTTTATTTAAAAATATCTTATAATTTGAAATAAAGGAAGTAATTTTTTCAGATATACCAAACTTCATTTATTGTTCTTTTTGTAAAAATAGTCCATTGTAAATCTAATTGTCATTATTAAACCATTTACAAAAAAATTTAATGAGAATATAATTAGGAAAATGTATAATTTTTTAAAAGATTAAGGTCTTAACTAATTTTTTTTTTTTTAAGAACTGTGAATTTGTTATCAACATCTTATAACCTATCTTATGAATTAAATGGGGTAACAAAAAAGGCAAATACATCTCAGTGTAGCCGAACAGAATTGTAATCCATACATAAGATGAGGAGAGATGAGGAGCGAAGGAAATGCATAAAAGTCACAACATAACTGGAGAAATATAAAATGAGTGAGACACAAAAAATGTTCCAAGGCAGTAGTAATAACTAATAACCACATCATTACATCACAAATCCACAAAAAGAAGTCAACACGAGACCATATGAGACACAATCCTAACGAACAACATTAGACGGGGGAAAACAAAATAGGGTGCAGGGTAGAAAGCCTTCCCGTAATCAGTTTGTCACTGGGCCTATACTGATGGGGCAAACACTGCGTTTTAATTAATGGGGTGTTTGATCACAGGGCAAAAATTAAAACAACCTTCGATTTTGATTTAAACAAAGACATGCGTTTAATCACGGAAATAGCAACCCTTGCACCCTGTGTACCTGTCACTGAAGCAGTAAATATGGGATGAAATGAGACATTATGCTTAAAGAAAACGGGGAAAGAAGATTACAAGGGAGATAGAACAGGACCATGTCATTGTCGTCTATGAACTCAAATACCCAATTGTGCCTGCACTTCAAGGATGGTCTTAGCCGAGTCCCTAAGCCTCTGTTCTTCCTCGTCGGTCAAATGGACATTGGTCACACCGAGCACCCCACCTCGACCGAGCTGTGCCGGCAAGCTCAAGAAAACTTGACCACCGTCAATGCCATAAAAGCCCTTGGCAAGAACAGAGACTGGGTGAATCTTCCTTTGGTCTCTCAGAATGGAACGGACCAGGCTAGACACGGAGTATCCTATGGCCCAAGAAGTATAGCCTTTCAAACGGATCACTTCATAAGCGCTGTCTATAACTTCTTTGTGTATGTTTTCCAGCGTTTCTTTCTCGTACGCTATCTGTTGGTTCTGGAGAAAACTTAGCACCGGTACGCCCCCTATGCTGATGCTAGACCACAGCGCCACCGAGCTGTCACCGTGTTCCCCTACTATGTACGCCTACAATATGGACCATCACATACCTCTTGTCATTTTCTTAACAATCAACGATGGGATATAATTTCACATTATACTAGAGTAAACAAATGAACCTCATCCACTCCGCTATCTCCAGTCTCCCCACTACCTCTCTCTGTATGTTATATTATTTCATCAAAAGAACGGTCAGAAAAGTGAAGTCCGAAACTACAAGCCATTGAATGTAGCTAATTGAAACGGCCCAAGCCAAACGACCAAAAACGTATTGACGTGGGCCGGCCGGCCGAGATGAGTGCCTTTTCCAGTTTTCTAGAAAATAAACATGACAAGCATTTTAATATATTTGGGAGGACATAAAAAAAATGTCATGTTGGAGACATGGAGCACTTAAAGTGACCGGTTTGTCAGTGGAATTTAAAAATACTTAAAAATGTCATGTACACTTTACAGATAAAAAGTTAAAAACTACATTCGTCATCTATTTTAATTTTTTTTGGGAAAAAATTACCAAAACAATGTTCTGGCTTAACGTGACATGCATTAAAACTAGAATGTGGCTTACAAAGTTTATGACTGTTTTATGTCTAATATATATGTGTGTTGGTCACAAATAAGTAAACATATACAGAATATTCCAAGTTTCCAATAGTATGATGCTCACAGTGAGATATAAAAAAAAAATGTGAGACATTTTAAAATATTTTCTCTTAGTAAAAATATAAAAAAATTTTAATTCAATTTTTTTAAATAAAATAGTTAAGCGTATTCAAACCAACACTATTATTCCTATTTTTTATTTTAAAATAAATATAAAATATTTATTTCATTTAAAAATATTTTTAATCAAATTTCTCCCTTAATAAAGTAACTATCTACTTTAAAACTAATTCTATTTTTTTATATTTATTTTTATTAAATATTTTATAATAAATATAAAATCATTCATTAATAAAAATACTTTGAAAAAAAAGACAATAATTACATATTAAAAAATTAAAAATATTTTATATTTTTTCATATCCAACCTCTTAAAAAATATAAAATATTTTTTAATAGAGAAGTAATTTATTTATTATCAGTATTTTTAAAAAATACATTAACGATACATTTAAACATTAAAAATACATTAACGGAAGGCATGTTACTGTCAAAATTTTAATTGGAGGCCTTCACTTCACTCGATGAGCATTGAGGAGGACATTGACGTGAGAGTCGGGACTTGGGATGGGTATCAGGTTCGGTGAACAATGAAATTAAAAAAAAAAAAATAACCTATCAAAATATAAATAAAGTGGGTAAAGTGGAAAAGGAATTGCCTGAACATCCTGAGCGTTGACGTCCAGATGATCGGCGATGAGGAAACGAAACCTGGAAGAGTCCAAGTTGGTACCCGATCCGATGACGCGATTGGAGGGGAAACCCGAGAGTTTCCAGGCCACGTAAGTCAAGATGTCCACCGGATTTGAAACTATAAGGAGAACGGAGTCCGGGGAGTAACGAACCAGCGGGGGAATGATGGTCTGAAATAGACTGACATTCCTCTGTAGCAAGTTCAGCCTGGATTCGCCAACGATCTGACGCGCCCCGGCCGTGACGATGCAGAGATCAGATCCGACGGTCACAGAGTAATCAGTGGAGGCGTGAATCTTGGTACGGGGGAGAAACGCAGCGGCGTGCTGGAGGTCCAGCATCTCGCCACGAAGTTTATCGGGTTTGGCGTCGACGAGGACGAGCTCGTCCGTGAGGTCTTGGGTGAGGATGGTTTGGGCGATGGCCATGCCCACGTTGCCGGTGCCAATGACGGAGATCTTGTTGTGGCGCTTCGTCGGAGACGGAGGGGCTGCGTTGAGAACGGGCTTGAAGAAGGCCTGGGTTAGGTCCAGGCCTCCTGGACCCAGTGATGATCCTGACTCACTCTTGTGCATTCTCTCCGTGCCTTGGGAGGTTTCTTGCAGACAAGGTGAGCGGCGCGGAAGTTGCAGATTTATACATGGGACTTGGCAGCACTAAAGTGAGGCCGACTTGTGGGTCGTGAAAGGAAGAAAGAAGCTATTTGAAATTTCAACTGAACCGGTCAATACTATAAAATTTTTTTATAAAAATTAATAATTTTTTATAATTTTATTTCAATTATAATTCAATTTTTAAATTATAACTCATTATAAATCAATTATTATAATTTTAATTTAATTATAATTTAATTTTTAAATTTTATCTCTTATAATTTAATTCTTATAATTTAAATCATTTAAATATTATTTTTTATATTTTTAAAAAATAAAATTATATAAATTAAAAATATTTTAAATTTTTACTATTTATAAAAATTAAAATATTATAAAAATTTAAATTATTAATAATAAATTTTATATAATTTTAAGCTTTACAAATATTATAAATATTAAAAATTTAAAATATTATAATTATAATTTTTTTATTATTTAAATATTATAAAAATTAAAAATTAAAAATATTTTTAATTTTTATAATTTTTTTTAAAGTATAATAATTGAAATTATAAAAATTGAATTGTAAAGATAAAATTTAAAAATTGAATTACAGTCAAATTAAAATAATAAAAATTATGTTACAACGAGTTAAAATTTAAAAATTAAATTATAATTAAATAAAAATTATAAAAATTAAATGATTAATTTTTATAATATTTTTTGAAGTATCATAATTAAAAATATAGCATATTTTGAATGTTTTAAGATGTAATTAATAATATTTTTAAAAATTTATTTAATTAAAAATGTAAGTAATAAAATTTTATAATAAAAATATCTAAACATAAAAATGGTGTATATAATTTTAAAGATAATCGAAAATATAATTCAATTAAAACTATCTGCTAAATAATGAACGGTGATTACTACTTGCGTTAAATACTTTATAACCAGAGTAAATTGTACTAAATTTTATATTTCCGTGTATAGATAAATTGTTTGCTAGGAACATCATATATACAATTAGAGATATATTTTTTATATTGCACTTGCACGTAGTGAGTTTATTGGAGCAGTAAAAACGTGGATAATTTTTGAATTTATTTCTCACTCTTCTTTTCGAATTGAAATTATAGCTGATTACAATAAATCTACATGAATAATGGTACCTAGATAAAAGAATTGTTCTATCAAACAAACAAGAAACGGGAAAAAAAATTGAATTGGCCCAACCGATGCATCGTGCATCGTGTGCTATGATCTTTTAGCACAAACAAAACGAATAAGTAGTGGATGATTTGCCGGGGGCAGCAAATTAAGATGAAACTGTAGATTGACCAATAATATCACTGGTTTACGTAGTCTGTGTTCTGGGATCGGTGTTGAACGCCAACGTGTTGGATTCAATAATTGCGTTTTAATTTGATTTTTTTTATTTGCTGTATGTGACCGGAGAATGGAATAACATTCTCCTTTGTGGTACGAAGAACGAAAGAAAAGAAAGACATTCTTCTGTTTTTTTTTTTTTATTAGAGGAGCAGGTACTGACAGGCACTGACAGCTTGAGATTGCGATCAAACTCATGACGTCAGTCACTCTTATAAGGAGAGTTTACAAGTCATAATGTTGCAAAGTGATTCACATGGCAAAAACATTCTTATCGTTGAATAGATACCAAGTGCCAATTGCCTTTTAACTAATGACATATAATTTTTTTTTTATTATAAATGAGAGATTGTAAATTCAATCCTACTTAAAATATTAAGTTATCAGTACTTATCCATCTAATTAAAAAAAAAATAGATATCATGTCATTTCCTCAGCTCGCCCACCCGCAGCGGCCACCCCCATGTCACACACTTGTTATGAGATATTTTTCTTCAACCATTTCAAATGAAAATAAATTATTTATTCAAACACCTTATAGTCCAAAGAGATTTACATCCATATGCTATTTTTTTTTATGAATTAGAATTCAACCATGTGCCATGCACAAAAAATTTTGATTTGATTTTACGTGGAAACAATTATTTTGATTTAAAAATATATTGTGAAATTAAGCTCTATCAAATTATATTGTCAAGGATTATTTTATTTTATTAAAATCATTAACACTAGAAGTCTTTACATTATAGTCATTGTCACTGAGATTGTATTTTACCAACATTCATATCATAGTTATTGATTATAAAAATAAGTGAATTAATCAAATAAAGCATGCATGAGAATAATAGTATAATATTTTTTATAAATTATAAATCTTAAGTGGGTAATAATATCATATATGGTATTCATAGTTAAAATGCTTCAAATCCGTTTAGCTAGCCCTCAATTGATACCTTATCATTCCCAAGGTTTTGCCTTTGGACTTTGAATGCAAGGCCTTTGTAGTATAATTTCTGTGTAACTGTGTTTTGTTTGGAGAAGAGCAGATACCGTCGGCTCTATTGATTTATGCATCAATGTCCATTAACTTTATTATGTCACATAAATTCCCTCTCACTGACTTCTGCTTTAAAGCCAGGGGATCCAATAAATCTAGTTCGAACAGAAATTATACAGCACTGTCCACAACCTCCACCACGTTGCTCTGAAGCATCATTGGTATGACATCGCCTTTCTTTCATTGGAATTGGAAGGCTACTGCAGACCATAATTAAGGTTGCTTTCATCTGGGAGGATAGTTTTCATTTCTACTGCACTTATCCTCTTTTCTTTTTGGTATTGGGGGGTTATTCTTTTGTGATCTTGTATTTTATATAGGTTAAGAAGCTTGAGGAGCTTGGGATCGGGAGACCTTCGTCATATGCAACCACATTGAAGGTTTTACAAGTAACCGACTCGTGCAACAGTCTGATTATAATACTTTCATAATATTTATCTTCTACTATATTCTGATTTGCTAAGATATGTGTTTTGGTCTTCAGGTCGTTGGTTTGCTGAGATATATGGTATTCAAACACAGTATCACAATCACCTCGCGCAGAACATGATTCAGTCAATTTAAACAACGAAAAGAAGCGAGGATGAGGCCTAAAACTCCACTTTAATTATAGGAAATTTATGAAGTAAATTTGACAGGATGAAAAGACAGGGCAGCATGGAAGGCGAAACCATCAATCTTAAACTATAGCATCCTCCAGGGTAGTGATGCATTGCCTAGATAGGAGAAGACAAGGTCTCTTGATGATATGTACTGTTTGTCTATACGCCAAGTTAAACTTCATAAACACCCTAATATATATAGGGAGTAATCTAAGTCAAATATTACAGTGAGTTGGATTTTAAAGGAATTAATAAGTAAATACCTTAATGGATATAGGGAGTAATCTAAGTCAACTATTATAGTGAGTTGGATTTTAAATGGATAAATAATGATTACCAAATATGTTATAAACAAAAGAAATTGATTTGCTTAATTGTTTAAAAATGCAAGTAAGGCTCTAACTAATGTCTATGAAGTTTAGTTTTGAGAGAAAATGCACGAACAAATGAAATTGATCCTTAGGAGTATGATGGTGAAGAAATACCTATTCAATAATTAAATTACTAAGAAAATGTTCTTATTAGCTAAATGTAGTTTAAGACCATTCCAAACATAGCTAACAAAACCACACACATAACCCTAACCATTAGTAGCCATGCAATAAACTAAATTAGCATCATTAAGATCTTAATATGTTATTGATTAATTGATTGGCTTAGAACAATACCCACCATAATGCCTAACTAAGAATTAATTCTAAATTAATTTCAATTAAAAATTAGCAAGGCCTCATAATGTAACTATACAATTGTTAATGCCAAGAACATCCAATAATTCAACACAACCATGCATTAAATCAATTAATACAAAAGGCAAGCAACAATTCCAACAACTAATTAACTCAACAACAAGTATCCTCAATCAAAACATCAAAGGCATCTAATTAAACATCTTAAGTGCAACATTACAACTTCACTAATTCAACTATGGAAAGAGAAGTTACGAGTAAAAAAAAAACTAACAGAAACTAGAGTCTAGAATCTCTAGCCATTGAAGTCCATGAACTTAGGCTTCATCCATCTTTCTCCTATAAATCAGGTGCCTTTAGAGCCACACTACATCACTACTTCAAATCTAACTCTAAAAGTGCATAACAGTTCAACTATTGATAGAAGAAGATGAAGAACTCGCTTGATGATAATGGAAGAGAATGGCTGAATCAAGATAGAGGTTATTGTGGGAACAGATGGAAGAGTGTCTTTATCGACTTGACTATAGAGGGAGTGATGATGTAGAATCTCAGAGAGGGAGTGGAAGATGAAGTTGAGAATCGGAGTGAGTGCGTGATAGAGAGACTGAGGATATTGAATGAGTGACCTTGAATCAACTGAAATTGAATGTGAGTTCCAAAATTGAAAATGGAATGTCCTAAGTGAAAATAGTGAAAATGCGTGAATATTGGGGAGCATGTTGTTACATCCTGTGTCAAAAAAACTTAGGAAGAGTTCTAAGTATATAAATGGATGCACTTCATAACCTACTAAGCTAGCTTTTTAGAGAGTAATAGTCCTGTGATAAAGTGGTATTAAAGATAAATCTGGGTTTGCCCAGTAGGTAGGCCACTCATGATGGAAGTGTCATAGATTGATCGGGAGAGCTGTTATATCCTATCTTGGAAGGACTTTAGAGAGGATCCTAAGTATATAAGCAAGCGCATTGTATACCCTATTAAACTAGCTTTATGAGAAGAGATTAATGACTCTGTGATAATGTGCGGTGATTATTAAAGATGAGAAGAGGTGAGTTAGTGAATGCAATTACTAGAGAAACTTAAAAGAAAATGCGTTTGTGGATTAGAGTGTGTAACATGAAGTGATCCATGAATCTCAAATTTAATGTGGTGAGCATAGTGTGTTTTGCAAAAACCAAAATGAATGAATTATTTGTTTATTTTTTAGATATGAAAATTTATGGGGAAAAAAGACTAAAAGTAAATGGAGAAAAAAATTAGGAAAGATCAATTAAGAAAGTGGGGAAAAGATAAGAGAAATAAATTTATCAATTTATCCTCTTGCTTTTTCTCTTTTTCATATACCTAACTGCACATAAAATAATAAAATCAATAAAAAATATAATTTATGAAATTAAAAATAACGTGTAATAAAATCTAGAAAAATATGTAATAAAATCTATAAATTATTTAAGGTTGCATTTGGATATGTGAATTTGGGTTGGAAATTTGGATTTAAATCTCATATTTAAAATCTCACATTTAAAATTCATGAATTCTAAATTTTTTGTTTGGATCTCAAATAAAATTCCAAAATTCAAATTATACATTTGAATTCAACGGCAACTTGGACGACGTCGATGGTTTGATCTTAGTCAAAGTTGAAGGTCCAATCTAAATTAGGGGTAGTGGCCCACTCTTAGTTGACTCTGGCTATCTGAAGCCAGACAATGTCAGTGGTTCAATCTCAATTGAAGAGGTAGCTCAATCTCAATCGACATTGGCAACACAATCTCAAACAATGCTTATGAATTAACACGAGACAATTACCGTAGTTTGAAGGCTGTGGATTAGACTTGGATGACGACACTAGACCATCCCTTGTTAATAGTGGGATTTGGCACTTGATGACAAAGGTGAACGGATCGAAGATGGTGATCATGTACCAGTCTCGGACTGCGATAGCAAGAAAGTTTCAGCCAGCACTAGCTGTTTATTCTAGGTTGGCTCTAACTATCAGGTCTTGGTCAAAGTCGATTGTGCGGTCTCAACCATTACTAGAAGTCTAGTGTTGATCAGCGTTAGCGATTTGGTCCTAGTTAGCTTTAGCCCTTTGGTCTTAGTCAAAGCTAGCCCTCTGATCCCAATTGGCATTGGTGGTTCGGTCTCGATCATAGCTGGCTGCCCATTTCTAGTCTGCTCCAGTCATCTATCCCAATCAAAATCAATCATCCAATCCTGGTAAAAGCTGACTATTAGATCCCAATCATAACCAGCAATCTAATCTAGGTTTGCTCTGACCCTCTGATCCCAGTCGACATTAGTTGTCTAGTGCCAATCACAGCTAAGGGTCTGGTCTTAGTCGGCTTCAACCTTTCAATCCCAGTTAATGTTGGTCATGCAGTCTTGGTAATGACAGGCTGTCCAGTCCTATCGATGCTAGCGATCAAGTCTTGGTTGCATCGGTGGCCTGATCTAGGTCAAAGATTACGGTCCAATCCTAGTTGGTGATGTCCGTATGATCCTGATCAAAGTCGATAGTCAAATCCTGGCCAGCGTCGATGGTCCAGTCGTTGTCAATGTCAACCATGAGGTCTCAGTCGACGTTGACAATCCGATCTCAGTTTACAATGGTGATTCAGTCTCAATAGTTGTTAGCCGAAGGCAACCATGTCCAAGTCGATAAGGTAGTAAAGTCGATGAATGAATGCAAAGGAAGAGATGAGCTTCTATTAAAATTTGAAATAATAGGAGTTATAAATGAGTTGAAATTACAAAAAGATGGAGGTAGGATTTGGATTTAGTTTTGAGTCAAATTCAAATCCACATGCATCCAAATACAACATAAAAGCATTTCCTTGCCATCTAATCACAAATATTACCCAATTATTTCAAAATATACTAAAAAAAGTACAAAAAAACCAGACATGGGCGATAAAAGTATGGAAAATATGTGAATTATCACTTGATTGTGTTAGAAATGGCAATTAAGGAACACTTATAGCTTAATAGTGCATTAGCAATTGAAGAATTGCTTTGGAATATTAAATATGATGTTGGTAAAATACTAAAATTTCAGCAACAAACCCATAAATGTATCAGCTTTTTTAAGTAGAAATTTATATACAAGACATACTATAAGGCCAAACCCTGCATGAGAATATATCAGGACAAGGATACCTATTAAAACATCCAAGCGTATGACCTGGATGATAACTTATATATAAATATATACATATATTATTGACTCACCCAAGCCATGCCCACCACATGAATAAGGAAAAGCAAGTATAATATAATATTAGATTAATTGAATTCAGCAGCTGTCGATAATAAGATGCTTATGTCTTCGCAACTCAGTAAATAGAATTAAGTAAATTAGAAATTCACATCATCATGTTCACTATACCTCACAGCACTACAATTCAATTTGAATAGTTCGTTTGAAGATGCATATCATTAACTGAATACTGAAGGAAATATGTGATTCACAGAGCTGGAAGCTATTGCCAAGAACAGTACCAGCCTGAAAAGTGTTTAATAATTACTAGTAATAAAATTATATTTTTAACAATTAGTAGTTAATTAATACTATCTTTAAAAAGTTTCTTAATTATTTATTTAAAAATTTTCGATTCATAGGATGAAGGCAGTGTAGCTTAAATATTTCTGGGAATTTTTTTGGTCGTATGATATATTTTCTTTTCAATTTTATTGTTTATTTCATGAAAAAAATATTATTTTGTGCACTGGATATAATTATCTCTTACACCATTATAAAACAACATCAACAATGAAATCCGTTGTCTGGTTTTCATGAAAAGAGAATAACGCTTGTTTGTTTAAAATAAAAAAATAAGTTACTTATAACTTAGAAATTTTATAAAAAAATAGATATTGTTTTTATATTTGGTAACAATAATAGAAAATATTAATATTTAATTATTTTTAAATTTTGTGATATGTACATGAATCTCTATTTATAAAAAAATTATTATTTAATTATTTTAAATTTTATAATATTTTTATGTATCTCCATATTTTTATGATATTTTTTATTGTATTAGATTATTTTAAAATATTATTTAAAATAACTTTTTACCATAGTTAGGAATCTAATTTTTTAACATTTTTTTATTTTTAAAAATTTAAACAAATATCATAAAATTGCATGAAATATATTATTCTCAAAACACAAGTGATTTTATTATGAAAAAATTATGTTTAATTTAGGGGAAGGTTTTGGAAGGGAAAAAATTCCCTCCCTCTACCTTATCAAATAAGAGCCTTGTCCTATTCAGATAAGGGGTGGGCCCTTCTTTTGTTTGGTAAGGTGGAAGGGAGTAAAAATTTTCCTCCGCTTTTCTCTTTTTGAATCAAACACTATCTAAAACATGAAGAAAAAGGTGATGTTAAAAAAGAAAGTTGCATATTTTGAGTTTAAACAGATTAATGCAATCCCAAACTTCTATTTCATTTACCAAGTGCTCTTGATTAGATTGATGTTGTATAAATAATGTTAACTTTAATTGTCATTTTAATTGTAAGGGCTTTATTGTCAAAATCTACAAGACAAGAGCGTGGGATTTAAACTTTTAATGATAAAGATGATTGTATGTAATGACTACAATTTAAAAAAAAATTTATGTATTTTAACCTTACCATATATATAAGTTAGCACACTCATTTAATCCATAACAATTTACTCTTCATTTTTATAATAGTATGCTTATAATTTAATTTTACAATTTGTTATATACAACCCAAATTTTTGGTTAAAAAAAACCCAAATTTTTTAAAGTTAACCGCTAATCTTCCCCACCATTAAAATTTAATTACTTAATTATTTTTGAATTTGTTGAAAAATTAAATAAGTTCAATTGATTTTACTTTCCCCTGCGCAAAACGCAGTTCCGTTGCCGGGAATCGAACCCGGGTCTCCTGGGTGAAAGCCAGACATCCTAACCGCTGGACGACAACGGAGCTTTCGATATGACTTACACTAATCATTACTAAAACTGTGGTCATCTGGACAGCATTTTCCCGATCCCGCCGTGACGAGAACGCTGTTCTTTCAAGGAATCACTCTCTGCCAACGGATCTCGCCGCCAATCACAAACGTTTGGATTGGCGTGTTCTCTGAAATGGAAGCCCTGGCTGAGCTTGAGCGACTTCAAATTCAACTTTTGCATCGGATAGCAGAACTAGAGCTTTCCTATCTGCCCCAACACCACCCTATTTCATCGTCAAAACCAAACGCCCTTCCCGCCAATGACACCGAAGTTGAAACTGAAGCTCGCCTATCCGCTCTTTTGCTCTCCAACGGTGTTGACGACTTCTCCTTCAAGTGGGTTCCTTCCGATTTCTACGATTGGCCTCTTGAAGTCAGACGTGATGCCCTTGGCGCCGCTTCTATCGATCATCTTTGCAAAAGCATTGTTTTGGTAAATTAAATTAATATCCCATTTACATTTTTCCCATTTCGAGTTTTTTTGGTTGAATATGTGCATCTTGTATCTTTTCGAGGAGGATTCAAATGGTAATGTAGTTTGAGCCAATGCTACAGTCAAAACATTGAGGAGTATGTTGGCGGATAACTTGTAAATGAATATGTAAGCATTCTTTAAGTCTTTAAGTCCTTAAGTCTCTTGGTCAATCGCTAAACCCAGTGGACTAAAAGTTGGTTTAAAATGAGATAAGCATTGAAAGGTGGCAGTCTCATCTGTCTTGTGTGTTTAGGTCCTGACTCCTGAGGCAGAGGACTAGAAGGTTATAGGCTGTTATACATGACAATGAGTAACAATGTCATTAATAAGTAGAACTTAAGACTTGCTAAACACCCTTTAGTTATGAAATGCCTGTTTCATAGTTGTTATTCCTTTCAGGTTAATACTCAAGCCCAGTCCGACGTTATAGACTGTAGAGATCGCAACAATTCAAAGTACTATGTTCTTATTGTTCAGGTATACTGTTTTTTCATTCCCCCAATTCTCTGATTTTTCACTCTCTGACCTATCTTATCAATCTTATGGGTTGCAACTTTCAAATCGTTGCAGTACACTGCTCGGTTTAATGCTGAAGCTGTTAAAAATTTTCTGTACTCGCTCAACAATGGGAAAATAGCAAAAAAGAAATTTAACTGTAAGTTGTTCACTGTAACAACCTACGCACACAAGTAAAGTAGATACGTATAATTTGTGTGAACATACTTGTTTGCATCTTCAAGTTTAGATCCACAATTGGTTAATCATCATCCTGTGCATTAGTCCTATGATTTGAAAGGATAACTGGAACGAAATAACCTATTTGGAAGAAATCTTAGCAAATCTTACTGTGGCATGAAAGGAGCATGAAAAGACAGAACAATATGTTCAACTTCCAAAATGGCAAGAAAAAAAGTAATTCAGTATCTATATTGAGATCATGGATTGTGTGCATCAGTTGTTGTCATATGACATTTTCCAAGTAGGGTGGTCGTAAAGTCAATAAAAAAGTTCCCATTTTTAACATGGATCTTCTCTGCTCTATCCAAAAAAATTATGGTTTTCTCTAATACTTCATGATATTTTTGTGCACAAAAAGGACTTATTCTATTTCTACATAAGATGGGGATAGGTAATCTCTTGACCACGTAATGAAAAATTTATATCACAATCGAATTAGCTTATGTATGATGGAAATTTTAGAACATTAACTGGGTTTGACGTCTAGTCTAGCTGATATTTTCTTATTTTGAGTATTGCTTTTGTTTTGAACTAAAAGAATATTCTCCATATGACCTTTTCACTAGTTTCTAAATGTTCACTTAATTTTCACGTCTAGTTATAAGCACCTATCTTTCCTTGTTACTCATCCTGTCTTAAATGCTTTTAAATGTATAATTTACGGAGAAGTCTTTTGATATTTTCTGCCTTCTTCTTTTTCACTTGACATGTAGTAGTGTCCTATAGAAGTAACGTATTCCTATGGTTATCATTAATTACACAGTGAGGCTTGCACCAGAAGAGACATCAACCGGTTTAACTGGTTTTGTGCACAATGCAGTCACTTGTATTGGCATGAAGACAGACATTCCGGTAAATTAGTCTTCATCCATGCAGTTAAATGCTTCTTTTTTGTAACCAAATTTTTACTTTTCGCTGCACGTATTTTATCTATGCGTATGCATTGACAATTGACGGAACCTTTGATGGGTTACTGACGAAAGATAAAATCTAGAACGGCAATTCTTGAATTTCTCGCTTTTCACTCTTTGATGATATAGTCCTTCTTCACATGTGCCTTTGACAAAATTTTCCAGACATCTATTCAGTACTGTCTTTCCTGTCCGATGTATGTTTCATTGCCCTGCACTTGCTTACAGCTAATGTTGCTGAGAAGTATGACAGAGGATCCATTAATTTTTTATAATGTCCCCTGTGTAGGATATATGACAGCAACATCTATGTATGATTTGAAGCATTTAAGACTTTTTTCCAGCTGTTTGGCTGGTCCACAGTTCCAAATTGTCTTCTGTGGCTAAAGCGACCAGGGCATCATTTTTTGTTATCTTTCGAAGTGGAAATGGTGTCTCACTCACCATATTAATTATCTATGCGAGTCTTATTTCTGTTTAATCTCTTTCTTGTGCAAAAGTACAGGGAGGAATTAATTTTCTATGTGAATATTACTAAGTTGAAATTCTTTATTTCTTTTTTTCTTTTTTTCAACTCTGAACATTCATGTCTGAACTTGAACCGAATCCAACAGCAGAAGGGGATTCAACTCCTCATCATTGATGAGTTGAACCAGGGAGGTGGGTTCAAGGACCCAAAAACAGTTGAAAATTTTCCTGTATCTTGCTTTTGGATGCAAAAATAAATACATTTTCTTTTCTTATTTGGCAGCATGATGTCTTGTTTATAAATGGGGAGGCGTCCACACTTTTCTTTATTGATTGAATAAATAAATTCTTTCAGGTGATCTTGGATGAAGCCATTGTTAAACTGACTCCAGGCTTTTTCTGGTTGGGTGGTGGCGAGGTTTATCTGAAGCTGGGGATCAGGACATCTCAGTTAATTAAATTTATCAACCCATTCATTGTCAGTTGTAGCGATAATTGATTTCGTTCAAAATGATGTAGTGCAATACACCATAAATATGCATGTTTCAGCAAGATGGTTCGAAGGCGAAGTGCTGTTGACAACTCCATCGGTGATATGACGAGATTTGGGTTGCGATATCCGCAACAGAAATGTGATATGCTTTTCAGAGCAGGATTTATAATTTTCTCATCCTTAAATTTTTTTTGGAGATTAGAAATGCTAGTGGCATCGCTGCTTCACACTTTAACTTGTATTCGTTGTGTTGTTAACATCATTGGATGATTGGCAAAATTTAACTTCTTGTTGGAATTTAATTATGGTTGTTTGATATTGTTGGGAATTGTGCCTTAGAGCCAATCATTGTACTGTACACATTATTATTTAATAAATTTTTTTTGTTATCATATCAATGGCATGTTTACTATGATGACCATATTCTTGTACAAACTGTAATAATTATCCTAAATGTCCCTGGTCGGTCATTTATGAGGAATCATAGATGAAATAAGATTAGTATGACTTTAATGAATTATAGAGATTTAAATCAAAGTTATAGGCACTTAAAAGAGTACAAGGTGCTGGACTAAATTGTTATGAGAAAACTGCATGGTACAAGTTATAAACTTATCTCATATATAACCACATCACTAAATCCTTTGACCTGAGATCATCATGAATTCCTGCATGATGACCACTGAACTTTGACTTAGTCAAAAGTTACCTTTGATCGGGTGATCATAAAGGTTATGATTGAATTTAGTGATATTCATGCAGAAAAATACAAGTGGTCAAGATATAATTTGTCCCTCACATTAAGTGAGAGATATTACTGGGCTTCTCAATGAGTAAGATTGAGAAAATATATGACCGTACCGTAATGAAAAGGGTTTTTCCATTGCTACAGTCAGTCCACTAGAGATCAAGAAAGTAATGGTTAAGTAAAGGAGAATGGCAATTTCATATTTCATATTTGATTGAATATCGCATGAAAAAATGAATGTGATATGGTTACATGATAGGTTACATCGGATCATTGATCTTCATATGAATTAGATCATTGTAATGTTTTACTAGAGGCCACTTATGACTTGTGGGCTAATAACGTAATTAGCTTATTATCAATTTTATATGGGCCTATAGGGCTACCCACAAGAACAGGCCAGCTGGAATTATAATGTCCAAGTTCATTGAATTTGAAATATATCTAGATTCAATAAATGTAATATAGGGTGAATGAATTGTATATATTTAAATATTTATTTGATAAATATTTATATATATTTATATGAAATATAAAATTTAAAATATAATTTTGTATATATATATATATTTGAAATATATTTTTGTGTGTGTGTGTATTTGTGATATATATATATATATATATATGAATATGTATATGATATATAAAATTAAATATAATATATATATATTTGAAATATATGTGTGTGTGTGTGTGTGTATATATATATATTACATTACATTATATTATATTGTGTTAGTTTTGAATTTAATTTTATATCATAAATTAAATTTAATAACTAACATGATATGAAATAATATCATATTAGTTTTATAGTTTGAATTATAAGATAAATTTAAGTTAGATATGATATTATAAATTTTATTTATGAGATAAATTTAATCTAATTTTTGGTTAGTTCTTCAAAAGGAAGGCAAAAATACTAATTTATATATAATAGATACAAGGGGACGTGCAAAATGAGAGAGTTAGAAAACTTTCGACGACCAAATATTTTGAAAGCCACGAAACAATCTAGAGAAAGGAAAACCAACATTTAAAGAAAAATGAATATTGGAAGCACTAGCACGCTATTCGAGTTAGAGAGCTGTTCGTGTGGATACTGGTAGAAGGAGTAGATTTACGTTGTTAACTCTTGAAGAGAATGCACGTGAAGCATGAAAAAAAGGTAAATGTTCTTTTCACCTTAACTTAAACAACTTCATTCGGTCCATATTAGGATAGAAAATTTAAAATTTTAATCTTCTACTACACCTCCCCGTCCAACAGATATTTTGCAACAGATAATTTGGGGGACGGTTCAAAAATAGCAATAAATAGATACTATTTTTCTTGTGTTAGAGTTTACCATACAGAGTTTGTGGGTAAGGCAGCATTATATCTTTAAGTCATGTTAATTTTAGTTAGTATTAACATTATTTTGATCTTCGGAAGACATGATACCGTCATTTAACTTTAATTTTAAGCGGTCTCGTATACTTCTTTTTCTTGTTTTTAGTTATCAATTTCTTACACAATTAACATTTGTGGCATTATTCTAAATTGAAGTATACTATAATGGCAAATGGGACCAGAAATACCTGTTCCTCTCCTTTTCTGTATCATTAAATTTCATCTGCAGTGTTTGAGCACCCCAGTTGTCCAATTTTTGCACATGATGCTTACTATTATTAAACAACTTAATAAAGTAAAAGTAAACGAGCAAATTTTTTTCCAAAACTTTAAATTCAGCGGCATTATAGACCTTAAATTTGTTTAGTGCACAAATGTTTCTTCAACTTTTGAAAATAATATAATCTAGCCTTTGTCATTACTAAAAGTTAACTCTAATTGTCAGTTAATAAAAAAATAATATCAAAAATTACAAAAAAAATTTTGAGATCCTTTTATATTATTTCTTGATCAACTAACAGTTAAAATTAATTTTTATTAATGGCAGACTAGATTGTACTAGTTTCAAAGTTAAGGGAACATTTGCATATTAAATGAATTTAGTGTCAATAATACCAATAGGCCTAAAATTATGAGAGTAATTTGCTCATTTATTCATAAATAAATGCTATCCTCATCTAAAGAGAACACCTGTCAAAATAATGTAAAATGAATCTAATGAGTGGCATAAATCCACTAATTCAATGAGTATCCAATGTTACACAATAAAAATCATTTGATTTAATTGAATGAATGTTAAGAGATTTTATCATATGATAAAAAGTATTAAATTTTAAATTTAGAGAGGGACAAAGTACATGAGAAGTGTTTTTTTTAAAAAAAATGTATCTTGATAATTTTTAAATATTGATGAAATTCAATGATTATATTTAAAACACTCATTGAATAAATAAATTTAAACTTCTCACCAGATCCAAATCTAAAAAAGTTGGTATGCCATATTTTAGATCTAGTAACTCTCAGCCCTTCGTCTATTTATTATCACCCAAATATAAAAATCAATATCCATTTATGATCCCACGCACAAAATAAAATCCAGGAACCAGGAACAACCTCAAACCAGAAAAGCTGAAACTGCATTATTCATCAGATTTTTTAGATTCTTCTTCACTTACCTCAAACCAGAGAAAGCTGAAACTACATTATTCATCAGATTTTTTAGATTGTTCTTCACTCAATTCAAATATTTTAGGGGATACGGAAACAGGATCCTTTGACACTTTCCCAGGAAATAGCATGTCACTGGAATCTTACATCCCAGCTTACAGATTTGACAAACTAAAAAGTAGTAGTCTCACTTTTTGACTTGAAAAAAAAATTAATTTATTATCAGCAATTAAGCACATGGATATGGACATTATCAGCAATTAAGCAGCTAGGGCTTTTCATTGTGGATGGGCGGTTTTCGGTGTGGTTGAGCATAATCCATCTCTACCATGTCCTCCATTGTGTCACCTGAGCTTGGATTCACTGTTTCTGTCACATGGTGCTGTGCAGGTCCCAGCATTGATCTGGTGTGCCTCCTCTGCCCCTACCAACCATATGCTTCACGTTATATCTTTGTAATGCCATTTTTTCAGCAGACCAACATGTTTCACAATACTAGTCTGGCCATATCACATATCATGATAGTTTCATCTGCTCTATGTATATTAATTACAGACCGCTAGCTATGCAGATAAACCAAAAAAAAAAAATTCTAAAGAAGAGACTTTTTCTGATGACCTTAAATACTGTGGTATGATTATGAACAGAGTTACATACTAGAAGCAAGGACGGCGAGTCCGTCTGTAAAGATGTGGTAGCTCCTGAATGCCGATTGGAAAGTCCTGAAATTTCAGAATAAAGTTACAAACAGATGAATATTTTTAGAATACTTGACAGGCCGCCCTCTAGTCCTTGAGGTGTGAATGTGTGATGCACCATAATACAAGAACGATCCCTAAAAATAGAAAGCCATACATCTTATAGGCGGACACGAAATAATAGACAACAAGAGGCACGAAAATTCTGAGGGCACTGGTCTTACCAGTCCCCACTGTTTCATCATGCGCCACTTTCCCTTGCTGCACTTTATTCTCCTCTAAGGTGCAAGGTCCTTGCTTTGATGCAGCTATACATTTATCTAGTACTAAAACCGTGTCCAAATCCTGCAGATAATCCAAAATTTTGGCCACTTGTCAACTCCAAATGTTTCACATACATGTATGTAGACACACACATCAAACTTCCCCAGTTGTTATTGCTTTTGAAAAGAGAAGTACGGACTGTATATACATGGGAATTAATCTCCTTAAATTGAGAATTTGTGAATTTCATGAAGCTTATCTTTTTTAGAAAAGGGAGAAGATTTTGTGTTTCATAAAAAAGTAATTGAATGGAGAAAATATCAAAAAAGAAAACTTTACGAAAACTTATGGATCTCAACTTTAGATGATTTGCTCCCATCTCTGTATATACATATTGATGAATCGGTATTGGAAAACGAACCTTATAAGAATGGCATTTTGCAGTCTGTATCTGAGAAAGAATGAGAGGATGGAAAGTGCATGCATGCAAAGAAAGACAGAGGAGGAGGAGCAGAAGAGGAAGAGAAGACATAATCAGATTGATATATGAATAGAACTATGGCCTATAGGAGCGAGGTCTGAATTCGAGAGTGTAGGTCTAGGGCCTAGGAGCTCACGTATATGTAACGAGAGAACAGGAAACGTATTAAATGCGTTTTATATGGGAAGAGGGACGTTCTTTAAGAGAACATGCAATTGTTTGGACGATGAACCTTGAAAACGAAAATGGGAATATGGAGGGCCCATAATTGTCTCCCTTGTCCCTCGTTTTAATCACTGGGGATCCTCCTATGGCCAAGAAAGGTTCCATCATAGAACTAGTAGCTAGTGAATCAAGCAGTTCAGCCAAAAGAGACATTTGGTAGAGTAAATTGATTCCCCAAAATTGCTGTAGGAATATGTCTGCATTTACTTGGTATTTTGATGGCTTCAATTTGATGGACAAAGCTTTTTCACGAGATGGGATGGCGAATAGGGGAACCCAACATGCTAGTTTTTGTAATATATTTATAATTATCATGTTTTTTCCTTGTTGGAGATGTTGATATAAGTGCTGGCACTGGCCCATCCGCTCTGCTTCAGATGAAACATGAAGAGATCACAGTGTCGTGTAGTTACGTTCGTTCGTGCAGGAAGACTACATATGAAGTATAAACTCTTGTTTGAGTTGCAGAGACACCCATATGAATGAAAGGTCCAAGTCCAACGACATAACAAGGGGACCTATCTGCGAGCCTAAGATGAAATGGGTGTAAAAAACAGAAGAGAGAACTGATTTCTGAGTTGCTTCAATTAATTGCAAGTTCAATAATCAACTGGGATTGCAGGGACTGTAGAGAAACATTTAACCGTGGAGTTGCGTGAATACCTGACAATTGGCGAATGATGAAGGGGAACATAAGGATATGGGTCCGACAGAGGAGTGAGAGGTGGGGAAGATGGCTCAAGGACAAAGGAACATGGCTAAACCGTTTACTTGCAATCTTCCTCACAAACACAAAAAGGTCTCCCCCCCCCCCCCTTTTTTTTTGGTTTCTTGTGACCAATCTTTCATTACTAACTCCTGTGCGGTTACTGGCCAAAAAAAACAAGAAAAAAGAAAAAAGAAACTCCTGTGCGGTTAAGTGTTAACCCCCAAGAATAGAACTTTCTTCCGATCAAGACACTTCTCTTTCAAAACTAAATATATATATATATATATATAGTGGGCTTGAACTCCTTGAAAACTACATACATATTGGATGAAAAGGCTTGAGTCGCGTTTCACTAGTTGCGTTTACTTTTCCAGGTGGCACTGTAGCGCTAATGCAGAGAAACGTGCAGCAAGGAAGAAATTTCAACTTCTCCATAACATATTTAGTCTGGCCGAAGGTTGGGTAAGAAAATTACAAGCCACACGATTGATTCTTTGACCATGTCATTACGTACGTAAGCCGGCATATCTTCCTTGTCCATTCTTCGGGAAGGAGCAAGAAGATTTGAAAAGAAAACTGAAGACTTCGAGGTCAACTAAACCTGCTATTATCTTGGACTTTGTTTCTCTCCACTCCACTTTTATACCGACGGAGGGAGAGAAAAAACGGGTAAGATTAACACAAATACATAATATCTTAACTCAAAATTTCTAAATGTGTCAGGTTTTGACTATTCGCACTAGGGTAGAAAATATCGGTACTCTAGTGCAAGTATCATACTGGGCCAGAAGGATCAGTACGAAGAGATGGGGAGAATCGGGTGCAACGTTGATGGAATTCTCGATGATACAAAGTTTAGCCAACCAATTCCATGGGTAGGCATATACATAGCTGCAGCATCGCTAGCCTGTCTCATCGGAATGGCCACAGATACTATACTTGGTATTTGTCATCGCAAGTTCTGGTTCCCTTGCAAATATTTCTCTCTTAATGCAACTTCCTTGACCTTGATCGGCGTAGCTGTCAAATTATCGGTGGATTTAAACACCTCCATGCCTCGCCACCACGATCAGCTTGCCAAACTCAGTAGCAGTGCCTTGATCTGCACCATCATGGCTAACTCTATGCCTTCCCTTGGAGCCATGGAGACCAAAGAAATGTTCATAAACCTTATGGCCTTGGCTATACTTGTTCTCACAGTAATTGTTAATATCTGCATGCAATTAGGCACTGGTGTTATCTATGTTTTCTGGAGAGAACACATCTTACTCATGTTCCTCATGCTCATATTACTCCTGCTCATGATTTCCTCTGCTTCGACTGTTCCAACCACCAAGCAATATTTGGAATTCAAATACAGTAAGAAGCATGAGATGGCACTCAAGGAATGCATAGACCAAACAGAAGGGCCAATCACGCAAATAATTAAAGATAAACTTATGAAATACTGGATGATGGCTCATACGAGTAGTCCCCAGTTTGTGTTGGGGAGATCACCAACATGTATTGCTTCTGGTGCTTTCTGTCTTCTAAGCGCTTTAATACTAGCAGAGGCTATGCTCCGATCCTACCTTACGCCTTGGAGTTTCAGATTTTGTAAAGGTGAGTCTGACTATAAATGGTCAACCATCTTAATCCTTGTGATTCAGAACGCCGCTGTAGGATTGGGTACTATTGCTCCAGCACTGAGATGGTTCATTGCTGTAAGATTCTGCTGCCCTAATGTAAGGAACAAAAGCAGCCACGAGAAGAAGGAATTCAGAGTGGAACGGTACTGGATAGAGAGCTTTCTGGAAATGAAAGAGTGCCCTTCGAATCTACGAATCCGTGATCGGCACCGCAGGAAATTAGCCCATGATGCTAAAGTTTTGTCTTTGAACTTGTGCATCCGTATGCAGATGGGAATCGTGCTGATCAGCAAAGTGACCCGAATCATTTCAATTTTCTTTGTGAGCTCCATCTTGGCGTGTTGCCATCACTGCAAGATATGGAAATCCAGGTTTAACGACACTGTATCAAGCATTAGCTCGGGAACTGAGTCACAACCAGGGTCAAGGCCAGATCTTAGACGTTTTGTTCTGCATCTTGAAGGGGAGGAAGAACTAGTGGAGGTGATGTTGAAAGAAAATCATGATGCCACCAATCACTGGATTAAGGTAGGAGAAAAGAGAAAACCTAAACACCTCATTCAGTTATTAGAGAAGTCATCTGTTTCACAAGGCTTTAAAGGAGTGGGAGCTTTTGACAGTGATGAAGTCCCTTCTTTACATCCTGAAGAGCCTCCAAACAGTTGGTCCCTACCTTTGGTGACACTTACTGCTATTGCAGTTGCACTTCCAAACATCACCAGGGATTCAGTCAAACAGTTGCTCGATACTGTTCACGAAGGACTTCACTATGTAGAGCTCGTGGAGAATACTCTGGACAAAGAAGGACATTTGATAAGAATAAGGAATGCAGCACAAATTGTGTGGCTTGGGATTGACCTCTATCGTAAGTGGTTTGGTTTGGATCTCAATAAACTAGCAGAGAAAAGCCCTGAAGAGACGCTCCAAAGATTAGCTGATGCTGCTAAAGCCAGGTACGAGAAATTCAAGATGAAAAACATAAACGTATGCTTGAGGGCAAGACCCTCAACATGGCCCCTCAAAGTATTGGCAGCAAACTCCATGTACAGAATAAGCAACACTGTTCTTTTAAATTGTAAAAGCAAAAATGAACTTACAAGCGAGACACTATTTGAAGAACTGACTTTGGTGATTGTTGATATATTGGGTTCATGTCTCGTTAACTTGCCTCACGTTCTATCGGCCAAGTGTGTGAAAAGCGCGATTGAAGAGAGGGAGGATAGTGTGAGACATGCCGGTTACATTTTCGGCAAGACCAAGAAGATTATGGAAATGCTAGACAACAGAGCATTTCCTAATCTGAATCAGGGTTGTGCGATCACGATTGATGATTGGCGATTAATGCATAAGCAGAACAGTGCCTTCTCCTTCTCTCCATCTTCACCGGAGAATAACACTGAGACAACTTCTCAATCAAGTGACTTGTCGTTACACCAGATCATCGTGGGCCCGAGCTAGTCACCAAGGACGAGCTGGTAGTGGCATGATCAAAGAGTGAAAGAAAATGGAAGGCACGTTGCGCAGTAACATAATTCCTGTTTGAGTGTTAATTGTCTGGAATAGGTACGTAGCATTACATTACTGCTTTCACGTAACCTTTATGGCAGAGAATGCTATTTGATCCTCCATAAACATGAGAGCTCACACATAACAATTGCAGAGGTATGTTATCTGAATATTACGCATAAGATTACGTTTTCAGAAAATTCAGAAGTTCAAATGTCTTGTATGTTATCAAGTCTTGAGAATCCGAGATTACAAAAATCTGGAGAGGTCTCTGTTGTGACAACTCTTCGTGAAATAACAAGAGGCAAGCTAGGCTTGGAAGAAGTTTAGCAAAATAAAACGGGGTTTAAACGAAACATTCATCCCCTAAATACATAGCAAGACACTCATGTTGTTGTGACAACTCTAGTTTACGATTATATACGCACATACTCCCTCCAATCTTAATATGACATATTTTAAAAGCAATTTTTAATTCAAGATGTGGGGGAACTTATAATAATTATTTTTTTTATTTTTATCCTTTCTTAATTAACATGAATGTATTTAATGTAGTTTTATCATGATTTAAAATTAAAAATAAAAATGAAAGTGCATTTTATTTTTTTATAATTTAAAAAAATTAACTTTTTTGCTATGCATGAAATGATTAAAAGTATTTTACAATAAAAATCGAAGGTTATATACATATTTCTGATTGTTTTGGTTCTTGAATTTCCTAAGTTGTCCTTCTGTTTTCTTGTGCAGGGTAGTTGTGTTGATTACATATTCGCCAAAAATTAAAAGAAAAAATTCTACCAAAAAAAAATTGAAAGAAAAGAATTGCAAGTAGCACCGAGTCATTAAATTTACCCTTAGCGACGGATTAATTGCTCATCAATCTTGGGAGAAATTGCAAATAGCTCAAGTTAAATACCCTCTCGAACAAAAAATATTCACTTAACGATCACATTCAAGGTTTAAATCTTTTATCCATTTTTTCCCGTTAACATTAACCTCATCAAGGAAGATGTTTCTCACCCTATCGTTCTCTAAGCATAATTCACTGCATGGATCTCTTTTAATTTCAATTAGTCTCTTTTACGCATTGCTGCTAGTGAGGGTCCCTCTTCCAAAAATAGATAAGCGGCGTTTGAATATAAAGTTTCAAAAATAATCCTTTTTTATTATGTTTGAAAGGGTTTTTTTTTTTTTGCCCCAGTGTGGGGGAAGGCAAATCATTCGGTCATACACATAACCTACTACATTCTTATCATCATTATTTCAAAGTAATTTTTTTTCTTCCATTCATAAATATAAGAGATATTTTTCATCTACAAAATTATGTCCATTTAATTCTATTTTGTGTATCAACTGTCTCCTGAAGAAAATACAGAGCCGCAGCTATTGACAAAGCACATGACTACACCGAAGAAAGGTTAGATTGAGTAACAGTCCGTCAAACTCCTAATTTTCGGTCCCACAGTCCGTCCACCGTGAGATGAAGAGAATGCGATACTCATATCATAACCCATCACTGCAGTATCAGTGGCTCTCCGGTAGCCTAAAATAAAATGCAAGCAAATCAAAGTAAACTTAGACACCAAGCCAGACGTTCAAAAAAGCGTTATGTATGCTACATATAAGAATTCTGGTTCCTTTATTCTTTTCCTGCCTATTTTCAGTCGTTAGGATGAAACTAAGCTTTCCAAGTCAAAAGTATACAAATAGAAACATGTGACGTTACCTCCAAGGGAATTCACTCGTATCAATTCCAGCTTGGTGAAGCTCATCAACATACTGTAATGCCTCCCGACACTCTTCTCGATCATCAAAGAATTCTGTCTTGTTACCTTCTATTTGGTGTGTTTCGTGGCCCTTTCCAGCAACAACCTGCATCATGCATATAAAGGGATATTCCTCATTTCTCAAATCACAATCCATATTTATTTAGCGCATTAGTATGCTAAAGAATGAAATAAGTGAACTCATTTCCAGAGAGCTTGAAGAACTTACAACCACATCACCCTCCTCTCCCATTGCAACCGCAGCTCGTACAGCCACCCGTCTAATGTCATGCAGAAAAAGCCTATGACCGTTTGGAAGAGGCGGGTAGTAGTCATTTTCCCCGTATTTCAGGTACTCCTGCATCGTCCATCCTACCCCAGCCAACATATCATCCAAAATATCCACTGCATTTAAAGTAGATAGTCATGTCTGTAAGTTAGGCTTCTCAGGCAATTCCCGCTACTAAGTATCATCGTTTCTAATTATGGTATAAACATGCACCATAATTCTTGAAAAGATAAACAAGACTGAATGAAGATGTCAACTATTCAGAGGGATGATTATTCAACATCTTCTATATATGGTATATAAAATGGTAAAAATGATGCGGCTAATGTATCAAGAGAATGCATTCGATTTGTATTTAGACCCTGGCACATATTTTAGAATATACCAGGATCAAGAATTCAGAAGAAATGAAAGTTAACCTCAGTCTCTAATGTTAGTGAAATCATGCATTGCATCCGATGCTATAAACAATAGTCAAAATGCATACATGGATCTTCATCCTTTGGATTGTCAGATGTCAAGATGGTCACATCGCTTTTATCTGTTGCTATCTTGGTCATCATGGGTCTTTTCCCTCTTTCGCTCTCGCCACAGCAACCAAACACTACAAAGAGAGAACAAAAAGAGATAGGTAAAACAAGAAAAGATAATTTTAATCCAAAAATAAATTCACGTAAGCTTTGGGCGTATGCATTAATAAAATGTGCAGCATGAGCATTGAGTAGGTACCTTGACTGAATGAAATTTTGAGATAAGTCAACCTCAGCCAAGAAATTTCCAGTCTCAAACAGTGAGAAGAATCTCAACACCACACACAGAGAGAAAATAACCATGCCAGTATTTCATCAAATGATATTTCGTTTTAATCTCATCTTATTTAAATTAGGGGAAAAAAATCATGATAGGCACAAGATAATTTCAGTCAAATAATATACCATTTTAAGCTTTGGCAAGTGCATTTATTGGGCACCCTAGATAATAAAATGGAATTTTCAGATAACAGCAGTCAATCTCAGCTTAAGATTTTCCAAGTCTCAACGGTTGAGAAGAATTTGAATACCGTGCACAGAGAGAAAAATAACCATGCTGCAATTTCAAAAACGGTGTTTCATTTTGATCTGTTCTTATTTAAATAAAGTTGAAAAGGAAATTTATCTACAGCAATTATTTAAGGGAAACACAAACGTACCAGTTATAATCCTCCGAGGTCCAAGCTCTCTCACAAAATCAAGCAATCTAGACAAGGCATCAGGAGTCTGAGCACAGTCCACTATTACCCCAAATGCTTGTTCCTCATCAATTAACTCACACCTACCAGGAACTGCATCAACTTCTTCAATCCCTCTGACAATGTCCTCTAAAGGTGCCCCAACAGCAATGCCAACTGCCACGGCAGCAAGAATGTTGTAAATATTATGTCTTCCAAGTAAACCTGATGAAATTTCCAGTATGCCACTGGGAGTATTAACCAAGACCTGCGTCTCAAACAGAGAGAGCTCAAACTTCAAGGGATGAACATCTGCATTCTTATTCTCCAGTGCAAATGTCACAACTGGGACTTCGGGGTTCCCTTGAGAAACAAAGAAAGTTGCATTCGAATCATCAATGTTGACAACTTTTCTGTTCCGTTCAGGGTCCACCATTTTTGAAAATAGTTTAGCTGTTGCATCTCTGTATGCCTCCTCAGACCCATGGAGACCCACATTATCCCCTGCCAAATTCATAAAAACTGCAATATCAAAATCAACCTCGGTGAACTTTCCTAAAGCTAGTCCTTGAGAAGAAGTCTCCATGACTAGTGCTTCAGTTCCATTGTGAAGCATCTTTGCCATCAAGCTTTGAACCAAAACAGCATCTGGTATTATGTTCACCGACTCCAATTTATTATCCCCATGCACGTAATGAGCAACTGAGCTCAACATTCCTGTTCGCAGTCCCATTGCTTCATACATACTTTTTATCAAATGTGCACTGGTTGTTTTACCATATGTCCCAGTTATCCCGATTACTGCCATGTTTCTTGAAGGATACTTGTAAAAGGATGCAGCTAATGCAGGGAGAATCGCACTAGTATCTTCCACAATCACCAGTGCCTTGCAACCCAAGGTCTCTTCTATGTCTATCTCTTCACTCGCCACCACAGCAACTGCTCCTCTCTTGTCTGCCTCAGTTAAGTACGTATATCCATCAGTTTTTTGCCCAACACAGCATATAAACAGGTTACCTGGGCTAACTAGCCTTGAATCATGCTGAATGCCGGTAATCTCAATTTCCAAATTACCGTATACCGATACAGGCACGACCTTACTCTCATCCAAAAGCTCAGCCAAAGTAATTTTAAATTTGGGTTCCACAATTCTAGCCTTACTTTTTCCATAGCTGTCAAAATCTAAATCAAACGAAGAATTTAAAGACGAATTCTGACTTTTATGGTCGAATTCATTCACTGCACCACCGAATTTATCCGAGTCCTCCGCATCCGAATCATCGGAAGTAATTCTGAGCCCCCGGAGTTCGTCAATCTCCTCCAAATCAACGACCTCCTCGGGCTGCAGCTCATCAACTTCTTCAACAACCTCATCAGAAACCATCGTCTTTTTCCTGGGATTCGGTTCAAGGAGCCCCTGCTCTACAAACTCCTTACGCTTCATCGCGATAGCTTTATCAATTTCACTGAACAAATCATCCCCGTAACCTTCAGAATCCAGAGCAGGATTGTCTGGAGCATCTTCGACATCCGCAATGGCAGCGAGGAACGTGGACCGGTTCTTTTTGAAATCTTCTTCTTGAAGCTCGCGAGCACGGGCGGCCTGCCGCTCAATTTGCTGGAATTTGGAAACCCCATGACTAGAATCCTCCAGGGCTTCTGGTGGGTCATCGTCTGCGGGGTTGGGATAGTACTTACCGTCCGGGCCTATAGCCGAAGGAGCCCCCAGAGTTCGAAATGGAGGAGAATGATAATGAAGCAACGGTCTGAAGGGAACGTGTCGAGAATTTACAGCGACGAAGTTAAATTTAGGAGAAAGAAGGAATGGAAGAGAAAGGAATGCCAAAGCCATACTGAGTTGCAGCTCAGTGATGCAGTGACCGGGAAAGAATTGAGTGGGGTTTTAGCTGAGCAGGCGGAAAATAGATATCAATGTTACTGCTACTTTTAGGCT